TATATATATATATATATATATATATATATATATTTAATAATTGATATAAATTTTGAAATTTCGAATAATTTTATTCAAAATTTGATACTTACTTTTTGTAGTGAATAGATTGAAAAAACTTTCTACTTCAAATTTATCTGCAATTCAAATTTTTCCTCAAATACTTTCTGGGATGCAACTTAAATTGCGTAATATGTAAGTTAAATGTGCAATTATAACTTTGCTGTCATTCATCTAATTACAGGTTTTTTGTCTACAGACAAGTCAAAGTTTGACGAAGCAACAACTTCCAATTACAATGTACCAAATGATGCTTCTCAAGTGAATAACTTGAAAGAAATGATGAAAACGAAGAAGAAAAAGACTGAGAAGTTGAATCAGAACAGCGAATTATCAGACCAACAAACGCAAAATGATAGGAAAATTCGTCACAAAGAAGTCGGGTCAGGAGTTCTGACCTTGCATGTTTTCGAGAATTTGTATTATACAGTCACTTTACTCATTATCAATTTTACAATATTCTTAAACTACTAATGACGTACTTTTAGAAATCAGTCTTTAACTACTTTAGTTGCTTTACTTAGTTTCTGCACGAAAGTTTTTCAATACATTAAAATTCGATGCAACAAAGTTCAAAGTTCTTGCATGCGTTCAATCGATAACTTTATCTTATCAGTCCCGACACTCAGTCTATTACTTTAATTAAAGTACTAGGATTATTAAACTTTTATATCAGTTTTCGGTATCAGTTAGTGCTTTGTTCAAAATAATTAAAGTGTAGGTTGTAAAACTTTATGAGACAACTTTTTGGCAGGAATTAAGTTAAGGATAAGCAAACATAATTGCATTTCTTTTCCGTATTCTCAGTGGTGTGGTCAACTCAGCATGACTGAGATCTGCATGCCAATTATAAATGAAAAGAATGTATCTAAGTGCTTAGGCTTATACTCATAGCATACTCAATCAAAACAGTTGGTAGCGATTCTGATTTTTGCTATGACTCTTCTCCGAACAGTTCATTTTCTTCTCGGATCACTTGCTGGTTGCTTGTTTATGAATTTTAATTTAAACATTTAAGCGATGAAAAACTTGCATTTCGTTTGTGCATATCTCAGATTGTATTGATTCAGAGTGCATTAAAAACCAATCATAAAATAATTGAAATGGATAAATTGTCAACTTATCTTCAGATAACACAGAATAATAAAATGAGCAAAGCAATATGAATCTTTTCAAAGCACTCAAAAACAATTCGTAAATAAGCAATTTAATACAAAAATATTCAGTCACCACTCAAACTAAAAACAAGCACACATAAATTTGCTTAAGTATGTTTTGTTGGATTACTAATACTGGTAATATTTTGATATTTTTTGAAAAATGACAATAATTAATATATTCAGAGTTTCAGTGCCAAATGATGACAAATTTCAAATTGTTATACGAGTGATCAAAATTAAAGAAAATAAATAGTAATTGACATTTTCGTGATGTAAACTTATCATGCTTTCATTATCATTATTGTTTTATTATTATTATTATTATTATTATTATTATTATTATTGCTATTGCTATGATTATTGTCAGTATTATTTGTAACATTCATGACGATAATAATATATTAATAATACAAAGGTTATTAATGTTGTTACGGTTTCATCGAAATTTCGCCTTTTTCTAACATTTGCCGCATTCGATATTTTTGTATTTTTGTGTTTATTCGCGGGAAATCATCCACAACTGCAAATTTTTCCGGTACGATCAACTGAAATAAAAGTATATATTTGTTTAATATTTTAAACAAATCTAAAAATTTTCAAACTGATCAAATCTTCATAAAATTTTCTTTCTGTTTAACAGTTTGCGTTCTGATCACAAGCTGAATTGAACTAACGAAAATAAGTCAAACTGAAATTGCTTGGCACTTATGATATTTATATAGTTTCAACAATTAAGCAAGACAGAAGTAAAGAAACAACGGAAGTTAAAGTGCTTTTAATCGTTAGGATTTTCGAGTGCTTCAAAGCATTTGCTGGAGGTTAAATAAATGAAAAATGATTTCTATGAGGTTGAAAACGCAGAAGCGATTTGCCTATGTTTGAGATTCGCTAGAAATTTGAATATATTAAAATTAAGCCATCTATCAAGCTAAATTTGATAAGAGACAGAAGAAGATTCCTTTTATTTCCTCCCATTTATGCATTCCTCATTCTTACTTGTCTAATATTAAGGAAGGAAAACATGTCTTATAAAATATCTTAAAAAATACGAATGCAGATATTTGGACTTGTATGCAAACGAATACTGCCAAAGGCCTTTACAACTGTTTATTTCAGAAAAAGTCATAATTCAAAATGCTAAATACATTTTAGCATTAAATTTAAGCAGAGTGTAAAATTTACAAAAAAGACTGAACTTCTTCTCGAAGCTTTTTTGAAATGAAAGAATAACACCAAAATGTCTGCAAAAAGGATTATCCTGTGTTCTAATGTTTAATGTACATATCTTTAAGTATTTTTAAACAGTCTCGACTTTGGAAATTATAGAGTCAAATATCTCTGAAAAACATGCAAAATATGCAACAAAAAAAAGTACTGAAACCTAATATAGCTCGTTCGCAGGCAATTAAAAATTATGCGTTCTTTACAGGAAATTCAAATATTACACTGAAAAATTAATCGTCACGTGCTGTTCACTTTTCCGAGCATAAAAGAGGGGCATATGCATGACAATATCACTTTACTAATAAAATAAATGCTCATTTTGGTGGCTTATTGCATTTTTAAATACAATATTTACGATGAGATAGCCACTGCTTACATAAAATGCTGCATTAACAAAACATGTCTTTCGCTATCTGAATTATAAAAGCAGTGATAAATGTGGAATTGGGAAACATCCATTTCTATTTCTAATATTCGGCTCTGACTGTAATTTTAATTGGTAATCAAATAGCCGTATATTACAATTTTGTGTGACTGTCAATATCATCCATCAATAGTATTATAGAAGTACAACGGTTTTATAATATTTCCGTAGGGAAAAATTGCAGTTTTCAAAAAAAGAAAATAGAAAAATCGGAAATAACAATTAGTTTCAGCTGGTGCCCATAAAAACCATTCTCATGTCAAATCAAATAATGTTTGCTGTAGTCTAGTCTTTTATTAATGCCAGGGAATGGATAAATACTAATTTCAAACTTACATGTTAAATAATACATCAAATTGAAATATGAATTGCTGAAATTGGAATCGTCAAGTGAACAAAAATTAAATTGCTGTTACATATATCATGGGTTAAAATGTCCGTTGCGTTCAAGTTCAAATTCAATCACTGATAACACTTTTAAAGCTCCAATTTTATTAGAAACGATCTGGCAAAATTTTTGAACTATGAACCTCACGTGAACTTCACATAAACAAAATTTCATAATTCAACGCTACATTACAACTTTGATAATACAGTTTTAGGTTGTGCAAACTAACTCACATGATAATAATGGGAATGGAAATTAATAGTTGTTATAGCTATTTAACAGGCATAAAAATATCAAGTTTTGACAGCACTTATTTTTACTTAGTTCAAGATGACTATATACATTCTACTGAAGACAGCTAACGAATTTCGATACTTCTTAGCAAGTAAATGCTGAGTGCAGAAGAAAAATGTCTAAGAATGATCAAAAACAAGATTAGTTATTAAGTTTTAGCAAAAAAAGTGCTGCTTAATTCTTATAAAAAGTGATTCAATTTTTTAAAGTGCATTTGAATGTGGCACATTCAGTCACAAACATTTTAGACTTAATTTTTGAGAAAGTTTGGGCTAGATACTTTGTCACCAATTAGTTCTCATTGACACGTGTCATTTCATTCAGTTATTTCACGTTAGTAACCAGTGCTATGTCCGTTTTCAAGCATTTGCATTCTACAGCCTTAAAATTTAAATTAATTTCCTGCCATTAATTTGCAGCTGAGCACAGAAAATGCATAAATCGGTTACACAGTTAACAAATTCTTTGATTTTCTCTTAGACTCATTTAGATCTACATAATATGAATGTTGTTTAGACCAGAAAAATTATTTTTTGCTCTGCTTTGAATTTCAATAGATAATTTCGAGTAACTTCCGATCGGAGAGACCTCAGTTCTTTAATTTGATTTACATCAAATCTGAATATCATGAATGCTGCCATTAATAACTGTGATTTTTTAATATGCTATACTGCATGTAAAGGATAGCTAAAGGTTTTTATTGAAGGTAGTGTATAGAAAAATTATATAATTAAAAAGTGAGAGAAATTTTAAAATGTCACAAATGTTTGGAATATGTAGAGAAATGAGAAATTAAGAACTTCTGTAATTAATGACGACTTAAACTGATAACGAAAATAGATCATAAAAGTATTTCCCATTGTAATACCATTTTTATTACTTACACCTACTGATATATTACTTAAAAAATAGAGAATTTTAACTAAATAAATTAGCAATTGGAGTAACTCATAGACTAGTTGCTGCCGTAGAAAAACTGCAAATAAACAAAGTATTATAACAAGGACTCAGAATGATGGCAGATAAAATTATTAAAATAATTAGCTTACTGAAAAAATTTGCATTTTTTTAAGATAAGAATAAATTTGAGATTGTTTAGGAGAAATATGTGAAACTTGTTTTTAAAGAAAACAAATAACAGCTTAGTTAACTAAAAAGTTTAACGTGTTTACTTTTGAAAGAAGAAAATACTGCCAGTACAAAACAAAGTAATGTATACCTTATTGTTTTTGCATAATGAAATCAAATCTGTTAATATCTGATCGACTTTTTCAACAGACTTTGGACTTTTCGGTACAATAAATGCATACAATGGTAATTTTTTATCGAGTGCAACGATCTGAAATAATTTTAAATCAGTTCAAATCGTTGAGAGCAATCAAATTTGCATGATCTGACAGAAATAGGTTGTGCATGTATGTTTTATTTAATTCAATCACATCACATGAATTATTCATGATTGTTGATTTTTATTCAGATGAACTCAGTCTGTGATGACTGCATATGTCCTACTCATATCAAATTCAAACGTTTTCACCTTTTTAAACAATTCACTTTTTTATTACAGTTATATAATGTTTAGAATAAGAAAACGGAAAAGATCAGAAAATACTGACCTGTGCCCCTTTAATTTCATTGTGAGAACACAGAACTTTCTCAATTGACCAATGCTCGATAAGTTCGCCTGAACTGTTTAGAATTAAGTCTTCTTTATTGGCGAGAAGCTCGAGACTTCCCACATTATCCACTGTCACCACATCTCTGATATCAATTCTTCCTTTTTTAAAGTATTAAGATAGTTTGTATCAAAAATGCAATTTAGTACACCTAGTTTTATCAAAAATTAACAACGCAATGCACAAATTTGGCATATTTGAGGTGCTTTTCCGATATGGCTTGAAAAAATTAATATCAAATATCAAGGATTTATCTGTGATATGTTCATTTTCTGAAATGGCAAGCAATGTCAATTTTTGATTCCAAGAATTTATTTTTTAATTTCGTGTATGTTTTAAAATAATGTGAGGCATAAAATTGAAAATATATACTGAATTTGAAAATTTTTCACAATAAAAGAAGGGAAAAATTCAGATTTTTAGCTAGCAAAGTTGAGTTTAAGATTTGAATCACAAATTAATACTTAAAAGCTATTTGAAAAATAGATAAAATATTTAAAAAAATATTTTTATCTGAGAAATGTTTTGAAGGAATTGATGTGTAAAATTAGTACAAATACGATATGTAAAATACGTGTAAAAAAATAACAAAATAAATATTTTAATATTTATTTAAAAAATTCAAATCGGAATGAAGTACTCTGATAAAGACTGTAATTTTTATGGAATCCTAGAAGCTTCTTCTTAGTGACAATCATTAGTCAGTATCCAATAATGGTTTCAGTCTTGTTACTTTCAATGATTTCATTATTGCAATTTTAACTAGAAAATTAATGAAGCGAAATTGTGGTCTTTTTGAATATTGAAAGCACAAACCCTGTTTCTATCCATTCTTCGCTTGCCTCATATGGCGGATTATAGCCGAGAAATTTTGACCCTTTTATAACTTTGACCCAGAGTTCACCTATTTTGGCATTCTCATGACTGCATTTCATGGGAATACAAAGATTCCGAACATCCACCTAAACTTGAAAGCAGAACTACTAAAGCCATTTCTCCTTCAAATATTATTGAACCATTTATAAATTAAACTTATCTGACTTTTTATGTGTAAATTATGTGTAAATTTTATGTGTAAATTTATAAATTTTAACTACAAGACAGCAAAAAAAATAACCATAAATCTCTTGAATAATGTAGTAATTAGTATAAAAAAATAAAAGTAACAAAAACCAATTTTTGAACTTCGAAAGAACTTCGCACCATTACCAAGTTTCTATACCTTATATTCTCACTACACCTAGTAAAACGTGTCAATATTCATAGCTTTATTCGATTCTCACGGTCAGAAACTGTCATCTTTAGACTAATCTTTAAAGAATCACAATTTAGCTATGGAGAAGTTAATTATTCCGCCATAAACTAGGTGAAATTTATCACGATTCAAGCTTCAAAGCTTCAAGCTCACTACGCAAAATAGTTTATGCATAAATAACGGAGAAATTTCAAACGTTCTGAAAGGAACTGCAAAGAAATGGAAAATTGTATTTTAAAATAACTTCAATGAAATTCAAATAAAGGTTTAATTATGAAAAAAAGAAAAGTTTATGATTAAACTTTAGTGCCAGCAATTTAACAGAACCAAATGTATTTCAAATATAGATTAATTATATGTTTTTCTTTAAAAACTCGATGTCTTTTCTCAGCGAAAGGATATTGAAAAAACGTTACTCATCAAGAATGCATGACAATTCCGTACAAATCCGATATAAAAAAAATATGTAGAATTCAATTTGAGTTTAATAATTTAGGTGAGTATTTGGTTTTTCAGATGTACAAACTAGCACTTCCTTTACAACAAAACATTCACCTCAAAATCAGTTAGAGGTTTCCCAATCCCTTTCATATTCAAAAGACCAGTTGACATGATTGGTACTGACGCAACTTCTGTCAGCATATAACCATTCTGTTAAAACAGTTCAAACATATTTTAAATTCTCAAAATTATTTAATTCAACCAAATAACTTGTTGTGAACTCGCATATAATTATCACTATAATTTCTGACAAAAAGTGATGCGATGACAAATATTTCACTACCTTTCAGCATTTAGGGATATTTTTGAGATTTAGCTTGAAATTCTCAAGAAGAGAAAATTTTAATGACTATTTCGAAGAATGAAAACAAGAAACCATTATTTTCATTTTTCTATTTAACTTTCAAAATAAAGCATATAATCAAAAATTACCATCACTTTGTTTACATTTTCAAACTGTTTGCTAATATTATCGATAACATCAACAGGTACACGTTCTCCGAGGAGAATTACGCTTTCGATTGATGGTAGACGTATATTTTGAGTTTGAGCTATTCGAAGGATTAAACCCAATGCAACCGCATTTGACACCAAGTGCGTACACCTTAATTATCGCAAATAAATGATACACTATGCAAATTTTTGGGATTGATTTCAGAAACACAACACTTAATTGAGCAGCATTGCATAATTACTACTTAGTTATCACTGTTTTAACGAAAAATTTACTGATATTTTTTGACAGAATCGAAAAGAAATTTTGGTATTGGTGAAGGTGATGGATATATCACTCTTGTATGACTGATAAATGGTAATAATCCAACAAAAGCAAATATCGGAATCTTGAAGAGTGGTAATGCACAACATATGCAGCTCTGCAAAGTAATAAATGAATGGATGAAGCATATTGTGAATAAAATTTGGAAAAAGGTATAAATAGATAAGACAATATGCTTATATTTATACCTTTGATCCATCTAGAATTGGTCTATCTTTCACTAGAATCTTAGAAACAGAACACTTTCTGCTTCTAAGATAGATCAATTCTAGTGAAACTAGTGGTGCATCAGACTAGAACATGACAGAAACGATATAGAAAGCAGTAGTTTCCTTAGCAATATGCTATGACTGTGAAACTGTGATATGGTGGATGAAAATAAAGGAAGAATTCAATGTTTATTTATTTTTGTTGAAACATTTTAGTGATAAATATTGGAAAAACTCTCCACGAAATCACTTAACATCAAAATATCATTTGAATACGCTGTGTTATTCAAAGTTTCATTCAAAGTTTCACTCAAAGACTTTTCTGAAAAAATTAAAATACAAAAATAAAACCACAAACATTATTATTGCAACCGGTCGCCTGACTAACAGCTCGACAGCTATTTATTAACTGGTAATGAGTCAGAGCGACTAATTTTGCTGGAGCAGAAATACCCTAAAAGATGAATACTTAGCACTTCTTTTAAAAAACAAATTCATTTATTTACATCGCAACTTCCAAGTTTAGGCAAAATTTCAAACTTTAATTAATTATTTATAACCACCTAAAAATAATTAAATTATTCAAGGTAGAAACAAATTTTGTCATATTTCCAGAAATATAGTCAGTTAACAATCAAGAAAGACCACCAGTCATTATTCTCATTAAAGATTTATGAAATAATAATAAAATTCCAATCGGAAACTGAAGTTATTGAAAAATCAAATTGAATGACTGTTTAAATAGATGCCAAATTTGCATGGACTGAGTTTTAAAGGAGAGAAGAGAAAGCGTGGAAAGCTGTCAAGTCGAGATCCAAATAATATTAAAACTAAAAAATCAAAATCTTTATTTGGACAATTTCTTAATTAGTCAAAATAACTAATTCGTTTTTTGAAAGAAAAAGTAAATTTGATTTTTGGAAATCAAAATGTAAATTGGGCAAATTCAAAGTGATGCTAGCTGATTTTATATGCACAATTGTGTGAAGGCATTGCATTTAGAGAAAATAAGATCAAAAATTGTGATTTTCATCAAAAATTGCGGAGCTGTCGGCTGAGAATCTAATTTTTAAGTTAGCATAAGATAGGATGGGCAAATAATATTAGCAAGTTGAATTAGAGGCAAAAAGGAAGAGAAAATTCATTCTTCACTTCTTTCTCAGGATATTTCGGTAATAATTGCAGAAAAAGCTGAGATTTTGAAGTTTGAACAATTTTAATGATAAAATAATGATAAAATATCCTTAACCACAAAAGACTGACGGGAATTTCAGCAAATTAATTTCTTAAAGGATGTAATTAGCTTAAAAGAATCTCTGACATACGGAAGTAAACTGTAACGCTGCAATTTTGTGCGGACTCCATTGCGTGAAATCTGGTAATTTGTCGATTTTCTCACGATTACTTCGTCCGTACACTTCTGATAACGTAAAAGTGCCACTATAACTTTGAGAATGAATTCATCCCTTCTTTAATAATGTTATGTGATAAACATAAGCATAGGAGACAACAAATTTCCAAATTTATCATATTTAAAATTTTGAATAAAAAAATTGCGAATAGTGAATTTGTGTCATATTTAAGTGAGAATGCAGTAGTCTTACGCATGTCTGTGGTCTTCTTCTGCCATAATTACGTGCGTCAACTTTGGTATTGCTTTACTATACAAGCGACCTTTGACTGAACGCAATAGTTCTGGAGATATTTCACTCAGCAAATTATTAAGAAATTCAACTTCGCGATTGGCTGGAAAACAGATTATAGCTCGAAATTCTCCCTGTAATTTGAAACATAATTATTTTAAAAAAAATTAAATCCTAAAATTTAATTATATAAGAAAAGATTATTTCCAGCGATAGACCTATTTAAATTCAAAACATTTCGTGTTTGGTAATTTTAAAAAAATCGAAATTGCAGTACTTAGTTGGATTCATACAATTTTGTTTCTGAAGGACTAAATAACATCGAAAAAAGCTTAAAACATTCGTTAAAAGACTTTATAATTGCTCAAAAACTGTTGTTCAGAATTTGAAACTCAAATCTGTCAATTTTTATGATTTTATTTAATTTTAGTTAGCAGAAGTTACTATGAATTTTGGACCACATAACCTTAATGAGAGCATATTTGAGCTGCTCAGCATTTGCAAGATTTGGATTGAGAAGCGAAAATATTAAATCAGCTCTAGCACAAGCCAAGGTAGAGATGAAGAAATGAGCTGTATTTGATCCACAAATCAGTACGCGATCTTGTGATCTAAGACCCGTTGACAGCAGACCCGCAGCTAATGTTTCCATCTGAAAGATAACATTTTCAGCCTTAAATTTGATATCGCAAATAAACTTTTAACTTTTGGGAGTAAATAAGAAACTACTTCTTTGATGATGTTTGCATACGTATAAATGGCTTTCTCTGCATCAAATACAGCTGCAGTTGCGTTCATTTCTGCACATTTATAAATGCATTCTGGAATTGTGCTTGGAGGAACTTCATATTCGACACTCATTGCTGGAAAACTCATATTCGGAAGTGGTAATTTGATATAAATCACTGAACAGATAAAGTCGTGCATTTGTTCAAATTCCTTACTTTTAACAGAATATCACGCTTGCTAAGGTGAAGCGAAATAAAATGATTATAGCATTATGATGCTTATGAATAGATTAAAATAACTATTTTGAAACAGCAATGGACCATCCTAGCAGTATTGAAATTAAAAAGTATTTCTTGAATACATAAAAGAAGAAGAATAATATTCATATTTATTCAGAAATAAAATTACTTAATGATATTTAAGTTTTGTTCTGCAAAAAACAGTGCATCATTTTGATAGATTACGGAATTAGGAGCTACTGCTCGTGAAATAAAAATTTATAAATTTATGACAAAACATAAAGCGCATTAAATAGTAGTATACTCGTTAATTATTTAGATACCAATTGGTGCTAAGAATCAGTAGTTCATAGCAAGGAAGTTTTTCAAATCTTTTCAGACAAAATTTATTACAAGTCTCGCGAGGCGAAATAAATATCTCTGGATACTTTCTGATCTATGTAGGATGATAGCTTTCAGATCGATAAATTGTTCAAGCAAACGAGGTGGAGCTCTAGCACAGCTGGCTCATATTACATGTAATCCGTTCGATGCGGCAGACTTTCCTATGCAATGCTTATCTCTATCTTTTTTGACGTAGAGTAGCCCAACAAAGGATATCTGTGATGTTTTCTACATCGTCATCGGAACGAGAAAGAGTCGAGGAAGTGTTATCGTTAACCTGCACCGAAGTATGCACATCGAGAAAAGTTTGGTAAACCAATCAATTTAGCTGAGCAAACGCAAAAGCCTACACCAACACCGCAATCATTAAATCATCTCAACCCCACTGAAAATGCACACTGCTACCTATACATATACTATCATATTTTCGTACATCCATTGGCATCCTTTTCATCTTCTACTACCTTATCAGCAGTGTTAAAAACTATTCACTTATGCTTTAATTTAGCCAGTTAGTAGCGAACAGTAACATCCTAACAAGAGTCGTTCTTGTGAAACTAAAGTGGATAAATCTGCAGTACAAATCTATTTTCTGCCGATTTCATAGAAATTTTTATCAAACATGACAGCTACTCGGATCCGCAAAAAACAATAAAGAACTGCCTTCATTACAAAAAAAGTACTACAATTTCAATCATGCAAATCACCAAGTTGAGAGGTAAAATCGCTGTAGAGACTGCATCTGTTCGGCGAGATCATACCGTACTTTCTCTCGCATATAAAATATCGGGCAATCTCTCCTGAAAAGTACACGTCTTACAAAAACAATGCGCAAATTAATATCTCTTACAAATGGGTTGCATTAAAATTACTTAGTGAACGTTTTTTGATCAGAAAAACCACCTCCTATTACACATTGCTATAACCAAATCCCACACTTTGAATTCAGTCGAAAACGAAATGTTACTGACAAGTTACATGGAAAATCATTTCGAGAAAGTGCCAGTTGAAAATAAAAATGAGAAGTCAGTATTTTCATTTTTATACAATTTCCACTTAAAACTATGATGAGAAACTGACGCAGAGCAAAGAATTTCCTCATTCGTAGTTCCTGCACAGTTCTGACATTCGGTCCACAATCTTGCAAAGCGATTTTCAATCGTATTCATCAACGTTAACTGCAAACGCAGTATGCCAAGTACAAAGACAACTGACTACAGCAATAAATGAAAAAGTATTATTTCTTAACTTATATCTCGTCATACAGTCTGATAATACCTATGATTGACACTGATCTTGGGCAATAAATCATAATTATCTTACAAAATGACTTACGTGTGTAATATAAACTTTTCCTTCATCCGGTTTACAATGAGCACAAGTAGCATCACGTACACCTTTTGGCAAACTACTTTTGCAAGAAAGACATCGTTCTGTTTTCTGGAAAAACTGCGACAAGCCGGACTTTTTAGATTGTACTACCGTCCTTACTAATGTATGGGTACCCGCTGAAAAACGGCATAAACATCAGCAATGATAACTGAGAAAAATTTGTGACTAAATAAAATATTACTTATCAGAAAAGATTCCGCTTTATCGCCCAAAATTGGTTCGAAAATACGAGCCAATGGCTTAGCCAGTTGATTTTCTAAATAATAAGTAGTGTCGATAGGAATGCTGTTTTGTAGAACGTATATCGGATCTTCAGCTTTTTCATACGCTGGAACCTGAAAGTTGATGAACTTTGAGAGATACAAAATACTGTAATTTAGGTTAACCCAAAACATTAAAAAATCTATTTTGACAAGTTACACAACTGAAAATTTACCTTTTGACCTTTGGCAACAATAACATAAGGCACACGATCACCTAACCGAGGTGCAGATCCAGGATCACGTTCACGCATTTTTTCTGCTAAAATTACATGTGCTTGCTTAGCAGCATACGCCTAAAATGAATGATAAAATTTTACAAGGAGAAAAGAATGACCACACACAAAATACATCGCCATAGAGAAATAATAAAAATTATTCACCAAACAACTTACATTACTCGCTCGAGTAAGCTCTTTCGTGATTATAAGTTCTGAGATATCAATCCGGTTGCAAAGTAGATCAGATATGACCTGTATTAAAATACTAAGTACAAAAAACTGATGTTGTAAGTAAATTTTTTATAAAGGAAAAAAAGCACTTCTTCAGTTTACAAAAATACGGCAGTTTCTGGTTTCCGAGACTGATCACCTTTTTAGCATGCTCCAAAGCACTCGTAGCATCACCATCAATCAACATTTTTTCCAAGCACGAGCTTAAGACTTTTGATACCAGTGGGCAGTTATCACGTCGAACTGTTTCTAGTCCCTTGCAATCAATTTTGTCATACTTTTCAGGACGTGTGAAATATAAACCAGCATACCGTTTCTTATTTATTAAAAGGAATGGTGAATAAACCTAAAAATTATAATTTTCCAAATTTGATTGTTGTCTGTTTAAGCTTTCTTACTGGTTTTTTTATGACCCAAGTGGATACAAAAAAATAAAATCTGATGAGCAAGATAAATCATGTACAAAGATAAACTTCCACAATCTGTTTATCAAACATTAATAAAAATGAAAGAAAAAAAACAGTACCTTTTCAAATTCTAATTTAATGGGAGGTATGAATTTTTTGCTAATTTCTGTGGCAGCATGTAAGCCAAGTTCCATTGCTGTTTTTATATCTTTTACTCCAAATCTGACCATTACTGAGTCAGTGTCACCGTATATAACCTAAAACCTACATCACAATCCAGATATTTACATCAAATATAATAAATATAACAATCACTGAAATGTGTTATGTTTATTAAACACTTAATTTAACAACTAGTCAAGTAATAATGTGTTCCGAAAACTTTCACTCCTTTAAACACAGCATTACCATTTAATAAATAGCATGACCACATTTATTTTTAAAACAAACACTGAAAAAATAGTAACACAAAGTCATGTCTACCTGAGCATCACACGGGCACTTTCCATCCAAATAACCTTCCTTGTACACGTCTTCAACTGCAGTTTTTGTCAAATCAATCATTTGACGACCATATGCTGTTACAGATTGTGAGATTTCTAAGCACGGTAACTTCCCAACTGAAGCACCAGTAAAACCGTAGACTGAATTTGCAGATAACTTCAATGCAAGCTGCCGACCATTTAACACCATACAACTAGAAAAGCACACTTCTATAGTGAAAATTAACTTTGCTTCATTTACAGAAAATATTATACACATGTTTTTGAGCCGGCAATTTGTTGACAAAAGTAAAAGTTAAACTCTTTCTTTTTGAAGAAAAAAAAGTTTAAATGTTACAAGCTTAATTTACGCAAAGAAGAATCGCAGATTACGTACTAGTTATAAAGTTCGATAGAAAACATTGCATAATATATTCTTTTACCGGAATGGATCTTTCTCATTCTTCAAATCATTTTTCGCCTGCTTTCTTGCATTTAAGAGATGCTCCAAAACCTGAGGTAATAATCCACGACGGACGCTCGGTTTTACAAAACTATTATTTGAAGGAGTAATTTCGATATCTGATTCAGACAGACTGAAAGTTTATATGTGCTTTTTATTGCATGAGTTTGATAAAAAAATACTTTTTGCATAGTAATCCACTTCATGCTTTCAAACTTACTTGTATTTGGTACTTGAACCTTGAATTAAAGTGGTATAACACAAATTATGAGCAATCATAATGGATGGATACAAAGATGCGAAATCAAGTGTTGTGATCGGTACATTATAAAAACCGCGAATGGGATCAATTACCGTCGCTCCCTCATAAGTTTCCTCCGCTTGTACGGCATCAATAACTGGCAGAAACAAATGCATTGATTTAGCCTAAATAACTAAAAACACTAAATGACTATTCCGTAATAATTTCTGAGTAAATGGCAAGGCACGTGAAATTTCAGGACACGAATTTTCAGATTTTTTTTTGGTAAATACATACCTTGCGCAGAATTTGTGACAATACTTTGATCTGCTGACCTCTAGAAAGCAGATAATCAAGTGGGACACCAGTAACGCGTGCCATTTCAATATAATTTATGACAGACATTAATTTCTGCAGAAGCTTCAAGGGCAGATAAGCATCTTTCATGCAATAGACAGCTAATCTACGGCGAGTAAAGGCATTTCCATTCTAGAAAAAAAAGACTTGAAAATAATCAACTGTAAATGAGTCACAAAGAAAATATCATAAACATTTTTCCCTTCTAACACCTATAAACAAGTGCCTGAAAATTTTTCGAACGAAAATAGGACAGATATTAAATTGCAAGTATGTCGTAACTATTCACAAAAACGGTAAATTAGTATCGAGCCTATTTAAAACTCTGAACAATTTTTACCTGTAGGTCAGCAATCATCGAATAGTCCACATCCTCCTTCTGTTCACACAAAAAGTGGTAACTGACACTGTTGAGTGAGTAGTTCCTTAACTTATAATCCCGTAAAACGATCTGCAATGCTCGATAAGAACGATTTGTATGACAAAAGAAGCACTCAACAGTTGCCGAATGCAGGGATCGAACCTGCGACCTTCTGTTTACAAGACAGACGCTCTCACCACTGAGCTAAGCCGGCCTTGCGCTGCCCTCTTAATTTCCCGTTTTCCCCAATGGAACTGCTTAATCCTTGATAAACTAACAGCTACTCACTTTCAACTTTGTTTCAATTATGAATAAAAGTCCTACTTCAACTTGATAAACACCCTAGTGAGACATACTGAACAAAAAGGTTGATACAGTCATAATTATTAAATGCTAGATAGCACGCTAAAGTAATTCAGATTAGATAGACATAAACTGACTTGGAAAACATCGAAAACAACTCGTCCCTCAACATTCGTTATTTTATTTGTTCTGCTGCCCATTTGTTTGCTTGATATAGGCATTTCTCGAACTTTTGAAAGTGAACTAGGAATACGTCCCAAACTCGTTGCTTGATTCTCAATCTAAATTAATGAAATTAGGAATTGACAGCATTGAAACACTTTAGCTAGTTAAGTAAGAAATTTAAGAAAAGACCTTCAGTGCTCGAGCACGTTCAACAATGTAAGGGAAGTCAAAATTTTGAATATTATAACCAGTAATGAGATCTGGATCAACAATACGAATAAATTCAGCCCATTTCTGAAAAAAGTTAGCATTGAATATGTCGAAAAAAAAAAACCTTGAATAACAAATGAATCAACAATTCTCTAGAACTTTATTTTTGCACAAGTATTCTTACAACGAGTAATTCTTCTTCAGACTTAGAAACAATAATTTCGCTGCCAATAACTGGTGCAGTCTCGCCAATCACAAAACAGTTCCGTATGAACGGTTCATTCTCGCCTTCAATTTTGACCATATTTGCTATTTGTATAACAGCATCAGTGTGCGATTCCGGAAATATTCCTTGAAAAAATATCGAAATAGAAAGTAAGAAGAAATAGATTAGTCTGTGAGATTACAAGTATGGAGTCATTGAATAGTAAGTCTTAAACATCATGATAGGCTTGAAATAATGATAATAGGGCCAAATTCATGAATTAATAATAACCCTGTCGATTTGTGCACTCGATATCAAAGGAGAGGATGCGTAAAGGTGCTATTGACGACCATTTTGGAGATGATTCAGGAGCATGAACAATGATATCAGTATAATATATTGAACACTTAAAATAATTTACTTTATGAGCCTCTGCATATTTGTATGATAGACATACATAGATCTATTGTTAAAGATAACTAAGCAAATCAAAAAATATTGTGGTAGGAATTTTTGTTGGGCTAAAAAAACTGTATCAACTGTTCAATGACAGTGAATAGAAAGTATACCTTGTACAGTAATATAAAAAAAATACATCAAGACTCTGAAAGCTGAAAAGATTTCATTAAAACAACGCGCATATCTTACAATTACTAAAAATTCAATTTTCGGTTAAAATAAATATACCTCAAATTGACAACGACTAATCATTCTTTCTACCGGCAAAATTTGATATTTTTTCGATGGCAGTGTAACCCACGCACAACCAACCAAATTATGGTCTGTCATAAATCTAATTTCAAAGTCAATATTGGTTTCGAAACATGCCAATGACACAGCTTTTCCACTTCCTGTTAAATCAATTCCATTGGCAAATATTCGCCGACCTGTAAGGCCGCATAAACTATAACTCTGCCTAATCATAAATCACTTTTTATTAATGAAGTTCACACTTACAAAGAGTGAGAATTTTCGGTGAACGAACATATACTTTGAGGAATTTTTGCTTCAGATTTTCACAGTATCCGTATATGCTAGCACCTTGTACAATTTCGAGATCCATCACTAGTTTTTCAAGGCTCTTGGAAATACCCAAATTAGGCGAAATTTGAGACTGAAATTCACAGTGCTGAAAAGTTGCAGCAAACGAGTAACAATGGATTCATTTTTTTTACAGGTGGTGAAAATCGAAACTTACTGAAACTATAATATAATATGTTTTCAACCTTAAGTAACTAACCTTAATGACATCATTCAAATATTTCTTGCCAGTTTCAACATGTTTTAGGTCAAATGGGGTTTCCAATAATACATAGAAATATGGGAGAAACCCATAAATTTGTAAACAAATTGAATTTTGATTAGCAGTGACTCCGAATAAACGAATCACGACATCATCTTTATTATCTGAAACAATCATGTAAATACACGCTCAGTGATTTCATATAGAGGCTTCCGTAGCTATTTTGACTTGTTTTGGTTACTTAATTTCTGAACTATCGTACATTAATTTTGAAAATGTTTTCAATTGATAATTCGTGACAGGAGGTAAGAGTTTCTGGTGGAATTCGAGATTATAGCTTCATATCAAAGTAATTCAACTTACTTATATAATGATCAACGTCTACAACTTGGAAGTCTATATCTTGTTCATTCATACGTACATCAATTGCAACTGGTGGACGAGCCCAATTACGCTCTAAATTGAAAATAAAATTTACATCAAACGCGATGAATTTATTTCAAACTACTGTAAATGAAATATTAAGGCAATTTGAGAAAAAATTCAAAAGAAATGTCTTATTTCATGAATTACTTATCATTTACCGTAAACTTTGTCAAAATATTTTTGTTGTTTACTGAAAACTTAAGAATGTTTGTTTAAAAACAACTTGTTTCTAGTTGATCACTTTCACTTTTCGTCGAGCCATTACATGATGAGACCAGTGATGCAAGCTGAGTCACAAATACCGATGGTTCTTTTTCAGTTGGCCTGAAAAATGACTTGTGAACTATGTAAAGAAAAAGCAGATAGTATTAGACTGTATAGTACAGTCGACTTTCAAATCTTAGCAATCCAATAACTTCGATATCAGAATAAATATAGAACAACTGTTAAGTAAGAAGTGTAAATATGATTACGTCACAAAAATTTATAAATATTAGTTGAGTGACGAATGGAATGCCAAGTTTTCATCCGTTAATTATTTTTGATCTGTACATAGTTCCTACAACAAATACTACATTTATCTCATTAATATATAGAGAAGATTTGGAGAAACACATTTATTCTATGATAAGATTTTGTATACCATTATAAGCGATTTCAAGTTAAATTTCATAACAAAATTTGGCTAAAAATGGAAAAAACAAACTTGATTCGTTTCGTTTTTGTCAAGGACGGTGATGGATGAATTGCGCGTTTGCTCATTGATAAAACTTTCTTGCCCAGAAGTTAAATTGCAAATCAATTTACTAGCATGCCAGAATAGATTAACTTTATCTAACAGGAAATACGATATATTATCATGAACTGAAAAAAAGTTAGAACTAGATCAAAGAGAACAAATTAATTTGAACTAAAACTCTTGCAGAACAACGAGAGGAACAACCAGCATAACTATTTATCCTTCCTTCCCACGTCATTCTTCAACTTATTTATACTTCATTTTCACACTCAAAGCAGACAGCAAAAGTCCCTCCTAATTTCTAGAAATTCTTGAAACAAACATTTGACACACTTCCCAGTATAAAGTTCCTCGACATATGCAATAAAAGTTAACTTTCAAACTTCCCGCTGATATCGTGAATAACCACACGCAGCTTACTTACATACTTCAGTCAGTGAATATAGTTCGTCTGCAAGGTACTCAGTGTTCATTTCATCAGCTCAGAAAACGTCTTGATGACATGCAGAAGCAGATGCTTAAGCTCAAAAGCAACACTAAAGTGGGAAATTTCCATTTATGTTTTAAATTAATTATTAATAATAATTATTATTGTAGTTATTATTATTAAAGGATGTAAATTGAATATCTGTCTTGTATTTTGTATCGAAGTGGATAACTATATTGTCTTAATTAGCAGCAAGGGTTGAAAGTTCGTTAGAAAGATTTGCAGGGAAAGTAAAAAGTAATCAGATTATATAGTTATTTTATGTGCTTTCACTTCCAATCATCGAACTGAATACTTTTTGCAGAATCAGAAACTGTTAAATTTATGTGTGTTGAAAATGCAGCATTATTGAAGACTGAAATCTTTTGTACTAATGTTTTTATTTTTTCACAAAAAATTAGGTAACACTTTGCAGTTAATAAATGATTCTCAGTTTTGTGGACGAAAACAGACACTTTTCCTTTCACTTATTAAAATAATCGCTGTAGGATTTGGCTTACAAATTGAAGATTTTTTGGATAAAAATGAATTTAAAAAACACTGCCTTGGAAGTTTTTATTTCATCTGGAGTTTGAAAATATATTCATTGATGATAATAATAATAATAATATTAATAATAAATAATAATAGTAATAATAATGATTAAAATAAGAATAATAATAATATTATTAAACGATCATAAATAATAATAATGATAAACAAGAATAATAACATTTCTGAACGTGAGAAACAATCACATACAGAGACGTACACAAACATAAAATAATGGCATTTCATACTGAGCAAAGATGTTTCATTTTTGTTCACGTTCAGACTTGCACGGAATTGATTATATCGCGTAATTCAGATGTCTTGTAAATTTTGTCAATATCCTGAAATATTCAATATTAAGTCTTGCAAACAGTTATCGCTATTAAAAAATCGCTTGTTACAGAACTATGCATTGCCAATATTCCGCAGTTGGCATTTTTTAAACTTCAAGTTTGCTTTTTGAAAAAATTTCTAGCTGTAGTCGCTGTATGAAATTAGAGTTTTTAAGTTGAGTACCACTTTAAAAGTTCTAGAAAAGATTAAAACTTCATGAAAATTATTCTAGAAAGTGATTTTCAACCGGTAAACGCCTGTATAATCAACGTGTGAGCCCGAATGAAACTAACCTGCAGTTCACTTATCCAAACTTTTTTATTTTTCCTCCGTCGCACTTCAGTTTTGTCCTTATTGCCAGCCTTCAATGATCCATTGTTACATGTCGATGATGCGAAAATCATTTCAAACTGCAATTTCAATTTTGGCAATTATGAAAAGAATTTGCTCTGAAAAGTCAACAATCTTTGCTGTAACCTTCTAATCAAATATCCAGATTTCCATTAATTAAGCATCTCAACTTTCTGCTGCTCCAACTCAGAGAACAGTTTTCTATTCAGTTATGTCAGATTCTTTTTTCATTTCACTTTCAAAATTTCGTGATTGTCAATCTTTACTGTACTAACAATGCAAGTGACTTTCTGGGAAAATTAGCCCTGAAAAGTTCTCAAAGCTCTAAACACCGCTCAGTTGCTTATTATTTTTGGCAAAAGCTTCAAAAATATCATACAAAAAACAACAATATCAACGATAGCAGTGGACCATACTTGTTCAAAGCTGTTTTCTTTATTATAACCTAACAAGTCATCAATATCAAATGGCCTTCGTATGTAACGATTACGCCGATGAACACATTTCGGTCGATGAACTGCAGTCTAGAATTTGTCATTTTTTTAAAAACCAAGTTAATCGGATAATGATTTCAACAATGAATAAGGGTATAATGATGAGTACAAAAGTGGAATTGCCAAATGAACGGAAAAAGTTACTAGTAGTATTATTACTACTACTGATAATAATAATAAATAATAATAATAAATAAATAATAATAATAATATCGTTAAATTCGCGGAGTAAAATGAAAAAATAAACTGCAGGCAGCAGTGAATTATAGTAATATGTGGTATTTTCCAAATTTTACAGAAGTCAAAAAGTTTGATTCACTGCTTTTAGAACTAGCCTTTTCTCCATCTTTCTGCTTGTTCTTTGCAAAGTTCATCAATTCCTGAGTTTTATTTCTGGCACTATACCTACGCACTTCTCGACTTTCACCATTTTCCAGCACCTTAATCGAAATCAGATTCAATGATAGCTTTCTTTAATAAAAACTTGCTATAAATGTATCTAACCTTGAGTTCGATCAATTTCATGTTAAAAATGATAAAATAATCTGCTGAGCAAAATATATTCTAATTTGACTTACTATTATTTTTTGTTTGAATCACACCAAAATTATCTTCTTTGGTGTTAATCAGTTCGTTCACATCTTACTTGCTCAAACTAATTATACTTAAGCACTTTCACATTTAAATTGAATTTTATTCAAAAAATGTACAGACCTTTTTAGATTTTTCCAAGTCTGTTGATTTGATTAACCGTTTTTCTTTTGTTTCAACTTTAGAGGCCGAAGTTGGCGCAATTATTTGCTCTTTTTTGACTTCTGTTTTAAAAATAAATTCTGAATTGTTAATGTTTATGATGCAGTGGCATTATAGTTGTAATTGGGTAATAATTATTCTGTTTAACTGAGTCAGATTCTTGCAATCCATCTGAATTCATGCAATTATTCACTTCTTTATTTTAGAGAATTAAAAGTTAAATCAGTAAGTTGCAAGACAATAGATTTGTACAAACATTTGTTACCTGAATTTAAAGATTCATTAGCACAAAGTGGTGCAGTACTTTCCTGTGAATGTACTGAACATCCAGCAGCTTTACTTAGCCCAGGTTGTGCTTCTATCTACAAGGAATGTTGTTTATTAAATAATTCATACAGTTTACTTCTGTTCTAAACTTAGTTTCCTGAATTTATGAACTCCGATCTCAACAAATTTCAAATACCGCAAGCTACAACTGCAATAAAAACTATTCGTAAATTTTAATTTATTTTTTGAGATAGTAGCTAATAACTACCGCAAAGGAAGGCACTGTTACGGGTTGAATTTTACTTCTACGTAAATGCTTTCCTTCTTTTTGATTTTCATCGATACGATTTTCTTTCCAGTTTTTCAAATTAGTTTCAATTGTTCTAAAAAGTTCATAGGTGAAAGAGATTCCACAATTTTAGATAGTTTTTAATTAAAAAAACTCTCATAACAAAAAAATGCTAATTTTTACTATTTTTGCAAATGGGAATTTTATAAAATTGCTGCTATAAAAGGTTTTGAAATTGAAATGGACCCAAATGTCTGATTTGCTTCTTTTAAAAGTTGTTTGTGTTTCTGTTCGAGAGTTGAGCGTCTTGCGTCATCGGTGACCATCGCAATCCCTCGTTTGAGGTCATTAAATTGCGATCTCAGTGAAGTATTTCCAATTTGCATTTGTTCACGAATTGCTTTCATCTAATTCATTTTAAAAATTAATTATCAAGTGTTAATTTCAGCTTTGCATTTAAAAATTATTATTGTTATTCTTTCTAATTTTTTGATTTTAAATTATTAAAATTAACAATCTGAACCTAAACCTTTACCGTTATTTAATACAATTTTTCATGAAATGTTGTTATGTGTCTTGTAGTATTACCTGTTTATCAAAACTGTCATCTATTACTGGTACAGCAATTGGAGTATACGTACGTTTGTGCCTGACTTCATCATTTTGAGTAGTTAACATCGGTGACCGCTTATAACTTTAATGGTTTATACTATGTTAACTCTTATCAAAATTAATTAATTGCATACAGAAAACAGATGAGAAGAAAGCAGGTAACTCAGAGGTAACTATGTAAACCAGTTTTGTCTGTTAATTTAAGAAAGGAAAAGAACTGACTTGTATATTTTGGTTTGAATCTCAGATGATTTGAATTTATCACTTAGCGTGCTAACAATGCCATGCTTTCTCGAGTCTTGCTTTAATTGCGCCTGGAATAGAACTAATTAGTTTTGCTTTAATTGCTCCTAGAATACAACCAATAATTTCTGAGAGTACAACTCAAATGTTTTGCTGTCATCGTAGAATAATAGCTGAGAATTGAAATTTTAATTTTAGTACTTTCTGGAAAAGTATCTAGTAAATTCTATGCTTTCAGAGATAAGTTTTCCTCAATATTCACCCACGCCTACAGGCATGGAGATGAATGATGTGAGCTGTGTTAACTTATTACTTTGCAATTTTTGAAAAAAGTAATTTGAGTTCTTTTGCATACTCCTTAATTTAATTTAAATTCAAATTCAATCTTTGCTTTCTAACAAAAGTGACTAAGATTATTTTTATTATATCAGTAATGTTTACTTGCTTTGTCACAATTATTAAATGACAAAATTTGATATTTGCTTTACATATCATTCTTTTTCGTTTAGCTTACAGTAATCATAATTTTTAAATCTGTAATCATATTCTTTTGAATACAAGTTCTTGATTACAAACTTATTACTTCTTCTAGTGCTTGCGCTTTTCTGGCTTCAGCTTCTGGCATGTTTAAAATTGACTTTCGAATCGCTGATTTATCATCCTGAAAACGTCCATTCCTCAAAAAAAATTTTTTGAACAACTTTCAATTCAAATTTAACTCAATTCTGATCTGATTTCGAAATAACAGGTTACACAAAAATATTTTAAGTAGTTGGCAGATGTCTCTCGCACACACTTTATGACTTGAAGTTGATGAAGTTGCTGAGAGGGCAGATGTTGGCCTTGAAATTTGTGTAGGAGATGGAGCAGTTACAAAGCTGATATCGTCGTCTGAAGCTCTCCCTTGCTTTGATGGTGTCCTATAAATTGTATGAAACATTGATTTCTGTACATGAATAAAACTTTAATTACTTTCGAGGGAAAAATTAATAGTTCTGAAATTAAATTTGAACTAGACTAACTGAAAATAATGAATTGCATCAGAACTGTAAGTCTCACAAAATTTGAGAGTTAATGGGCGAATTTAAGACTTACACATCATTAAGACAAACTTGTGTCTTCTCAACTTTAGCTGTTTGAAATTTGGCAGGTTGAACAACTGCCTTCTTGGCCCAATCACTGCTTGGCCTACGTTCAGTAAAAGGTCTGGCGCTATCAACGAAGTAATTCGTAGTAGTTGGCTTCACATAAGTTGGAATTACTTCAATTTGCTTTTCTTCCTGTATATCAGGTATTTAAACTAAGCAAAGATTTTTCAGTTTGAAAAACTAGACAAAATTAGGTTGGGCTTACTGTTCTTTCATCGTGCTCTTTCAGAGTCGCTTCAACTTCTTCTGGCTTCTGCTCTGATAGCTCGTGAGCCTGAACCACATCAACCTTATCAACTGTGGGTACCACGTGTTGTCGTACTGTCTTCCGAGCAGCTGTTTTTGTTGCTCCCTCAGTTATACCTTCTTTGGCAGCATCTTCGGTTATTTCGATCTATTTACATTTCAAAATCGTCATTTTCAATAATTATGAAAATAAATCTCAAAAACTTTCACTCTTTTAAAATTTAAAACTTCAGCATTTAATTAAAAGCTCAGTTCTTAGTTTTCATTATTAGTTGAGCTTTTTACACTGCTCATATTCAGTATTAAAGATAAGCTTGAAAGCAGTGAAACTAATAATTTGAGTGGCAGTTTTAAAAGTGATGCAACTTAGATAGAGTTACAATTTTTCTTGTGATTCTTTGAGATTTAAATTTTAGCAAAATAAGTTTTTTGAAAGCATGTTTAGCACTAATTTTTGCATTAAAAAATTGGCAGATATTTACAACAAGTTTTGATGCTTGCTCGGCATTGTGATCCAAATCCATTTCTTTCGTGTAAGTTACTTCTCGATATTTTTCTGCTAATTCTTCTCCTACTTCATTTTCAACTTCTTTAAGACTTTCTTCAATTCTGTTCAGATCCTCCTAAATTGAACATGGAGTTATTTTCAACAAATATTCTTGTACAAATGACTAAATAATGAAGAACAACAAATAAATAATTAATTTTAGATACAATTAAACTTTTTTATCAATTACTTTGCAACTTTGAAGAACGATTTATCTTGTGATTCTTCATTTTGATCAAAATATACAATTTTTTGGTTGTATAGAAATACTTACAAAACTTATATGATAAATAAGTTTCACTAAATAATACTTTCAGAGCGTCAGATAATCATTTTAATATGATCTGAATTAAAATTTACTATTCAGCCAATTGTGAATTTGGTCTTATTTTTTCATTAAAAGTTAGTCTATGCGCAAATTGCTCCTAAAGATTGTATTATAATTTAGATGATTGAAACTTCTTGAAAATACTGTTAGAAATATCTGAAAATCTTTTTAACTGTTTCTTCGACAGTTTCATTGCATGTTTCATCAACTTCAAATTCTTCTTCTAGCACTGAGGCAATCCTCACTTGCGGTATTGACAATAATGAAACCTTAAAAATGGTATTTTTTTATACAATTAATAATTAAGACATTTATTAATTGCAAGCATTTGTGATTTTGAGTAAAATTACAGTTTTTTCTTAAGCACATTTATCTTGTAATCTTTTATTTTTACCAAAATATACAATATTTTGGTTTTATAGAATACTTACATTAGAATTATGACTAATTTTGATATTAAATGAAAGTTATTGTAAGGTAGGCTCAATCGGCTTTCATTCAGAGCGTTAGAAGTATGATTTCAAATCGGTCTAAGAAAGGTATTAACTCTGAGTTAATTCTAAAAGGCGTCAGGAGGAAGGAGGAGACTGTGCTTACTTTACTAGCATTCTCTCGACTTCCTTCATCTAAGTCACTTCCAGGTACACGCCAGTTATTTATTACATTATCTAATGCTTCGTCATCGTCACATCCAAAATCATCTTCCACTACGTCACTGTATTCCTCATCTTCTCCAAGTTCGCTGTACATTTCATCTTCGTACTGAAATTTGTAACTTTTTTGCGAGATATGTCTCTTTTCATCTCTATATTGTTTTTACTTCTTTCATTTCATCTTTTCAAATTTCCCACTTTTTTCATTTCAAATCATTTAGCAAATCTTTTGAATCATTTAACAAACCTCAGATTCATAGTATTCACTTGATGAGTCCTCCTCATTTGTATCTCTTAATGCTGCCTTCTGGACAAGCTTCAAAGTGCACCCAACTTCAACGCTGTCTCGATACTGTGAACCATCGTACTAATCGTGAATTATCATTATTTTAAGAAATAAAAAGGCTCATTGATATAGTTTAAATAATTTTATTTTCAAATCTAAATTGTTTTTACTTGTTAGATCTTTGTTACTTACATCATCATCACTTGAAAATGATGCTGGACTGAAGTAAACGCCTAAGCTTGAAGATGATGGACGATAATCTTCAACTTCTAAAGCACTTCTAGTTCTTGATTCACATTCTGCAAAAATTCAAATTTTAATCCATTGAAATTGCATAGTTGAATTCCTTAATATATTTGAAGCATTTTATAAAAATAGAAATAAAAATAAATTGGCGGTATGAATTGCTGAACTCAAAACTATAAATTTTCTTGAAAAAGCGAAATTCATTTTTGCATTTAAATACATTACTAAAGGAAGAAAGTCAACGATTGCTCCTACCATATGTATCATAATTTTCAATATCTTCATAATCCGATAATGACGGAACCGATTCCTCTTGTGCAGAGTCCCAATAATCCATGCCATCATAGCTCACAGACGTGGTGAATATTGGAGCTGGTATGGCCATCGTTTCAGAAACTACCCGTCCACGGCTATCATCATTTCTGCAAACAATATATTTTTAGTAGTTCTTCTGCACTGCTGCATCCCATAAAATTATTTATTTAAATAAAATAATTTAATAGAATTTAGCAGATAAATTGCATAAATTTTACCATTCGTTCCTATAACTGATTGCAGTTTGTGATTTTAAATCGATCTTTTGAAATGAACAAAAATGTTCTTATTAAATTTCAATTTCGAAAAACTTGATAAACTATTATTGCTTCGAAGTAAATTTATGCTTAAAATTCCATAAAATTATTCTTAAATTTATTGAGAATGTTACCTTGATGGCATTCTGACAATGAGTTCTACGTCAAAATCACTTTCGTCGAAGGGAATAGGAGAAGTGGAACGTTCACACTGCTTTTCTAAGGTTGTCATTGTTGAGTACAAATCACCTTGAATATTTATTCAGATATTTTTATTTATCCTGTTTTATTATATTAATTGAGTTGCACAAATTTGATTGCTTCTTGATAAATTTAAGATTTGAAGCAGAGCTAAAACAATAATGTGGCATAACTTCCTTAACGGTGCATTTTAGCACTGATTATTGCTGACTATTAAAGCATTCGGTATTTGACTCGTTGCAAAAATTTTATCCAAATTAAATTTGGCAAAAGCTTTTATCAAACAAAGCAAATACTGAATAGATGTCTTTCTTGCAAAAATTCACTTACGTATTAAGTCAAAGGACAAAAATTAATATCATTTATTCATTCGCTACGCATTTATTTCCTTGATTTACTAGTACAGGTCCATAAAATTTCAAGTTTGATAAGAGAAATGTGAAATAAGATTAAATGAATTAAACTCATATTACTTTCTTAATGATTGCTCTTATTAGTCAGAACCATTCTATCATTTCATTTAATTCTAATACATTGAAAATTGACCTTTTGGTTTTCTGTCCAATTTTTTGTTACCTTCTAAAGGTAATTTAATTACTTCCGATACCGTCACATCATAGTCATAATCGCCTGCTTGCATTTCTTCTGTAAAAGTAAACATGTCCATTCGGTATGCTAAGAAAGTTGCACTTGACAAGATCTTGTGGAACCTACATATTTTAGGCACATTTATTCAGAATTAATCTACACCAAATATTATACTAAAATATTATGGAATAAAAAGTTTGCTTAGGTTTTTTTAGAAATTTAAAAATTTTACATTTTAAAAGTTGTGGAAACTTCGCATCACCAATAATAGAGTTTTTAATAATTGAGTTCAATTTGAATTTAGAAAGCAATAATGCAAATATAACAAATATAATATTGGGTTACTCAACTTCCTGTATTTTAAGTTTACTTCTAGATTCCATGAAAAACCCCCGAATATAGAAATTTTTGATTTCTAAAAATTTCGATTAACAATTAAGTTTTTGTATAGTACGCAGTGAAGCGTGAAACAAGCATCCATTCTATTTTTTAAATTTTAAAATTAATCTTTACTTTAACGCTGAAAGTTATTTGGCAAACATCACTATACCACGCTGCGATCATCACTGCGACCATTGTCACTTGACTTAAAGTTTTTAAATTAATCTTAAAATTAAAATTTCAGTATAAGACAGAAATGAAACCTTCCACGTCGCTGCTCTCCTCATCATTGCATTTTATCACGCGAAAACCATTGCAATTATCGAATGTGAGTTCAGAAGTAACTTTGCTTGGAAAGTTTTGTTGCGACGATTGAGTAACGATAATTAGAGGTGCCCTTCGCTTCATTACATTTTGCTGCATGCAAAAATATTTATGCAAATTATTTTCTCTCAATAACTGTGTTATTTTAGAATGCATACAGTTTGTCATCACTCTTATGTGATCATCAGCTGATCTGTGTGATTCTTTTAGATGCAATTTAAATTTTTGAATAATTA